CAACCGCTGGGTCAAAACAACCCAACAGCTGGGTCAAAACAACCCAACCGCTGGGTTTGTCCCTTTTTAACCAGTGCTGGGATATATTTAACCCAGCATTTTTTAGAGTGTATGGTATATTAAATATATCAAATAATATAAATGATATTACAATCATATAATTATTAAATATATAAAAGAGTTTCTTAAGAGTTCAAATTGAGGTGCAACTGTAATTAAATACGGACTAGCAATCTCTTAAATTGCAATATAGTTATATTATATAAAATTTAAATGTAATATATTAATAATAAATGTAATATATTTTATATTATATCAAATATATTAAATAATATAAATTATTTATATGTATATTTATAATATATTATTTTATAACATATAACATATTTAATACAATGTTTAATTTTATATTAAATATATTTATATTATTTAAAGTCTCATCCATTTTTCCGTAAGTGAAGTTCATTTGAACAAATCGTTAGTCACTTTCATGTACATTTTACCTTGTTTTACTCTGTTGCTATACTACTTTTGAGTTATTATTACTCTTGGGTAACAAGATTTGTGAATATTATAGACCAAAGGGTTCAAGAGCTATAGACATTTGTATTTGGGTATGTCGTTTTTCAGAAAATGCTCAAAAATAGGGGTTAATACACAATTAAATATATTATATTCAATATTTTATGTTATTAAATATAAGTAAAACATAATATGATATAATATATTATGTAAATAAACTTTAAATGTATATATAACATGCGTGCTATTGTATACATAAAATGTCATATATTTAGGATAAAAGCAATAAAAAATATATATTTGGCAAAGTTGACTGCCCTTATGAAATCAACACTGACAGCGAGAGCTCGCCTCTGCGGCGACGCTTATCCTCGACTGCATCAGGCAGCATCAGCTGAAGCGCAACAGTCACTAAATCTGCCCCCATAAACGCGCGACACACGGAGAGAAAACTGGAAACAAACACTGTTGTTGCAATGGAGAAGAAACGCGACAGCATCTCAGCCCGAGTGGACACGTCAAGTTCATCGAGTGGTAGGACTAAAGGTGCATGATTATTGTCACCTTCACGCTTCCTCGTGCATGCAAATGCAAGTTTGACAAGCTGACGGTCATGTGTGTACTTTTGCCGTTCTGTGAGTGAGAGGGGACTTTATTCGCGGTGTCACAGCTGGACAATCTAGGCTACCTGTTACTTTGGCCGGTAGATTTAAATTATTTCATTATTGGCATGGCATCTGAATCTTGTAGATGAAAATCTATATCATGATATTTAAGCTTAGGCAGACTTCCACCTGTGTAATAGTTTGCAGAGGAACTTGATGGACCGTTTGTTCACTGTCGACTTTTTTAGATTGTGTTTCAGCGTCTTTTTATAAAATGCATGACTTGAAGAAGGCAAGCCGGTGGGATGAAACTCGCTGCCTGCGGACACAATCCTTGACCATTTTACATGTATAAAAACTCGCTCATCCTCTACCAAACTACCAACCCTCAATACGTATAGCACATTCTGGGCTTTGCCATCAAAATTCGTTGTAAATGTAGCATTAAATGCTTTATATCAAGTCAATCTGTACTATTAATGCTAGTATAGTAAATAGTACTTCTGTCAAAAAACTGTTATAGAGTATATATCATTTACAGTGCTGGGTAGGCTACAAATTGCAATGACAAAAATGGTAGTCAATAATGTAATCCATTACACACAATTTCGGTAATATAATCAGACTACCTTTTGATTACTTTTAGATTACTTTTGACTTAAAGGAACACTCCACTAATATTGAAAATAGGCTCATTTTCCAACTCCCCTAGAGTTAAACAGCTGAGTTTTACCGTTTTCGAATCCATTCAGCCGATCTCCGGGTCTGGCAACTCTAGGGGAGTTGGAAAATGAGCCTATTTTCAATATTAGTGGAGTGTTCCTTTAACTCAACTATCACATTGATTTAAATAGGATAATCTTGCACTATATTGATATAAAAATGCAAAAAAGAAAGAAAATAGTTTCATTTATTGTTAGAAGCAACATGAAGTGCATTAACCATTACATTACGTCCAGGTTTCCCAAACTGGGGTTCGTGAATTCAATGAAAAGCTAATGATTAAATCATAAAAATGCAATTCAAATGTTAAATCACAACAATCAAAGTAAAAACGGTTTGTGTGAATGTCAACAAAACTGGAAGAATTTCTGAATGCGTATAACCGGCTGGCTACTTTAGAGAGGAAAGAATTAGGGAGAATCATGAATCGTTTATTGTTATTGTGTGAATAATATGTAATCATTAAAAAGTAACTGTAGTCTCATTACGAGTATTTTAAAATGTAACAAGATCGAATTACAAGTGCTTCATTTTTGGAATCTGATTACGTAATCCAGATTACATGTAATCAGTTACTACCCAGCTCTGATAATTCACAAAACATGTAAATAACACAATTGTTAAGTGCAAAATCATTTGGGTTCAATTGAATTCTATAAAATGACAACCTGCCCTGACTTTGTTCATGAAAAATACCCGTGCAAAGCCTTTCAGTTCAAGTCTGCCTTTATTATATAGTTGACTATTGTGCACACACAGCAGTTATTATTACAATAGCAGCAATAAAATGAGCTATATGATGTTGTTGGTGATCATGCTGATGCTGGATGGACCTCAAGTGCATTGAGGACTGTGGAAAACTGATAATTTCCCATTATCTTGAGTAGTATAAAGGATAATATGCTCTCACAGATCACTGAATTCTCTGCATTAAATGATGGCAGAACAATTGCAGAAATGCATGTGATGTTTTCTGTGAAATAACAACAACTGTACTAATGGTTTGTTGTGCATTAGTCAATTTTATGTCCTGCTAAGAGTCCATGTTATTCTGTATAAAGTACCTAAAGCTTGTTTAAATTGAAGGGAACTATTTTTTATTCAGCACACAACACAATTGCTTCCATTTACTCATCTACTTTACAAACAGTTTGTTACACAGGGTGTTAGTCTCAACATAGGCAATGTGAATAATTAGCATTTTCTTTGCAAGGGCGATGATGTAGACGTCTTTAAACCTTGAATCTGAGATGACATTAATGCGCTTGCTCTCCTAAATGGATCTTAACATTCACACTTCCAAATCCCACATTCAGACAGGTTTATTGCCATTAGAGAAGTGTTGTGCTTTCAAGGGTAAGGCCGTTTCAACTTGTCTTTCAGGGTTGAAATTCTTACAGCTGGTACTGATTCACCTTGTGAGAAGAGACACAATTAATACAGGCATTAGGGAAAGGTTAATGAGGATGAGGGATATAAAAATGAACGTGCCATTTTCTGATGCCATTATCTTATCTATATAATTATGAATATTTTAGCATTTAGATAAAATGGCCATAAACAATATTTTAGATATATTTCTTACTACATCATTAGATATTGTTGCTTGAAGAGTGAATTAGTTAGAGTAAATTAAGACACCTGTAGTGCTTGTAGAAATAAGCTTTAATTTGAAAATTGTGATCACAATTGAAAACTAAAAGAATTCTGAAAATATTTTTGTTTTTGACTCACCCTCATGTCTCAATTTTCTGTGGAACACAAAAGGAATTTTTTAAAGAATCTTCAAACAGTTCTTTTCCATAAAACGACAGTCCATAGAGACAACATCTGTCAAAAAAAAAAAATCATAAATGAACCATAAAGGTGGTTTATTCAATTCCTGCACTATATATTTTAGTCTTCTGAAACCATATGATAATGTCATGTGAGGAGTAGACTGAAATGTAAGCCGTTTTCACAGAATCTTTTTGAAGCTCTCACATCTCATTCTTTATCCTCAATGACTTTTGTGACATTTTTGGATTGTGAACATGAATAAATCTATGGATTGCTGGAAAAGAGCTGCATAAAGATTCTTCAGAATGTCTCTTTTCATGTTTTATGGGGGAAAAAATTACATTCAGATTTGAAATAACACAAGGACGAATAAATAATGAAATATTCCTTTGAGAAACTTGATGAAAATAACATACTTAAAGGAATAGTTGACCCAAAAATGAAAATTTGCTAAAACTTTACTCACGTTCAAACCATCCAAAATGTAGATGAGTTTGTATCTTCATCAGAAATGTAGCATTGCATCACTTGCTCACCAGTGGATCCTCTGTAGTGAATGGGTGCCGTCAGAATGAGAGTCCAAACAGCTGATAAAAACATCACAATAATCCACAAGTAATCCACACCACTCCAGCCCATCAATTAATGTCTTGTGAGGTGAAAAGCTGCCTGTTTATAAGAAACAAATCCATCATTAAGACTTTTACAACTTCAAACCTAAAATAGGAGTCCTCTATCCATAATATTGCTTTCTCCAGTGAAAAAGTCATCATGTCTGAATCAGGAGAGAAATATGCTCAGATCAAGCACTGCTTACAAGCCAAAACAGTTAAAAAAAAAATATGTGGATGGATTTTGATGTGAGAGGACAACAGGGGATGGACTTGAGATTTCACTTGAGGAAGCGTTATTATGGATTATTTGACCAGAAGAAATGGTTTTAAGTTAAAATGCCTTAATGATGTGTTTGTTTCTTACAAACACGCTTTTCCCTTCACAAGGCATTAACTGATGGACTGGAGTGGTGTGGATTTCTTGTGGATTATTGTGATGTTTTTATCAGCTGTTTGGACTCTCATTCTGACGGCACCCATTCACTGCAGAGGATCCATTGGTGAGCAAGTGATGCAATGCTACATTTCTCCAAATTTGATGAAGAAACAAACTCATCTACATCTTGGATGTCCTTAGGGTGAGTACATTTTCAGCTAATTTAAATTTGTAGGTGAACTAGAACAAGTTTTCACATTGGCCATGCAGAGAAAGCGAATTGGCACAAATAAGCAGATAGTGTGTGCCAATATTAGGTAGGCGACGGTTTTACTTTGCAGGTTACTTATTTCTCAAACCCACGCTTTGGAAACACTGGTCACTCAGTTGAATATGTAACTGCTGTTGGTTTGAACCGTTATATTTCCATATAGAAGAGTGTGAGTCTGCTGAGCTGAGCATGTTGAATATTTAAAATCCAGAGCAGTAGATAAAAACAATAGTATTGTACATTTGCCATGCATGCCTAAAACGTATAATTGAGCAGACTCTTGTTTCCAAATGTTGAGGTTTGAAAATTGACTGTAATTTTTTTTGCTTTATCATTTTCAACTGGTCCACACACTGCGCTTGTGTCATGTGCATTTGGTGAATGACTCAAAAGGTGTGTTTGCTTTAGCATTATTAAAGATATTTTGATCCGCTGGTGACCTTGAGGCTTCATCTGAAGCCAAAGGTTTGGTAGCTTATTGTACCTCAGTCATTAATGCCTTTATATACAGTATGCATCATTGCACACATTGGTTATTTAGGACTAGCAGCCTCTGTAGAAGTTTTGGCAAATGAATATCCGTTTCTCAGTGTGTCTTTCTCTCTTTTTTTTTTGTCGTTGCAAGTGTGTTGCATAATCAGTGGGTGGAACCAAGGACTTGCCAGGTGGACTTTGCAATATTACTTGTGAAAATCTTTATTTTAAAGGCTTAACATTGCCAACCTACAGTTCATAATCAGCATTACATTTCCATACTTTTCCATACTTCCCTGTAAAATAAATGTTAATGCAGGTGCACAGTACAAGACTGAAGATTTACACCTTGTTGTGTGTGATTAGATCGACAAAATGCCTGAGATCATCCGTGTGTATGAGCATCAATGAAATTGCAAAAGGGTGCAAGAGTAGAGGGAGAAATAGCAGAAAGTGGGAGCAAAAAATAAAATAAAAATGTAATCACAGTTATGGAGGAAAATGATCTTTTAATTGCTCTAGTTGGTGATTTAGTTATGTAAAGTGTGCATGAACACAACAGAAGAGAAGAAACTGTCAGGGGAGAATTCAGTAAGAAGTGCGGTAATGATAGAGACGTTTATTTGAACATGCATATGATCAACTAAAGGAATTAAAAGCATTTACAGTACTCGTCTGGATGTATTCTCGGT